AAGAATATATATATATATATATACACTATTTACACTATTTTTTTCAGTAAAAGTGAAGCACTACATACAAAAAATTATCAGTTTTTATTTCGTACGTAACTCAATGAACTCAAATTTTACAAACATATGGCGATAACAAAATTTTTGACATAATCCAATTATATATTGTTAAATCAATTTGAAGTAAATGTAAATGCGAAGGTCTTAATATTTGTTTCCTTTTATTGACATTTAATACTTAATATTAATTTTCGATAATAGCATCAATTTTCTTTTTTTAATAAAACAACAGGTGGTAAGTAATTTTTCTTATTAACTCCAGTCTGAATACTACAAAATATGCATTGCAAAACTAGAATATATAATCCATGTAAAATATTAACAATTTTAAATAAATTTTTTTATTTATTTAATTTTCTATTTCATTCAGTTAAAACATTTTAGAACAATTTATGATTTCGTGGAAGATTTTAATATTAAAAAATAAAATTTAATACTGCTTATTTTACTTTGATAAAATAATTGAATGTAGTCAGTTTCCGAATAATTATTGCATTTTTTTAATTATTACTGTTGTGGCTTACAAATTATATTTTTTTCTAGATATTGCAAACGCAGGTATTTATTAATATATGTATACTTATTACTATAAATGCACTTATATAACTGTAGTTAATCTTTATAGAATTACCTTTTAAATATTTATGGTAACTCTAATAAAATAAAGTTTTTTATTTCCTTATTACATCGCTAATTTAAAAATTATTTTCAGCTGAAGGACTGGTCAATGGTAAGCATAATTTGCTAATCTTAATTCTTAATTAATCTTAACTAATCTTAATTCTTAATTAATCTTAACTAATCTTAATTCTTAATTAATCTTAACTAATCTTAATTCTTAATCTTTAATTAATCTTTATAATTTTCATTGTATTAAACTTTCTAATGTAATTGAGTATAAGACACATAAAGAAAATATTTTTGTTAAAAAAATTAAAATATAGAAAAAACAGTTTGAAATATGATTAATTTAAAACAATGCATCTAGTGAAAATGAAAAAAAAAATTACTATACATGAATAAATGTTGTTTTGAATTATTTAAAAGAAATTATTCAATATAAATATTTAACTAATATTTTGATCAATTTTAGATGTCGCTGGAGGAGGTATGTTACATTTCGTTTTTAATTTTATGTATGTTAACCTTTGATTTTTGATGCATGCAGATGTTTAGTTATTTTTCATCTTCTAACTTTAAGTTATATTTCCTTTCAAACAGTATTCATAAAAAGTGGAAAATTAGATAGCTCATTGAGTCAATAGTATTTCATAATATCAGTACACTAACAGATAAGCATATAAGTATTGGTCAAACGCAGAATGTTATCGAGGGAAAAGTTTAAAAAATATTTTCCTATACATTATGTAGATTACACTAACTTAGAATGATTTTGAACTGATTAATTGATATTTTTGAACTAGCTTTAGAATTTGGATCTAAAATAATTTCATGCGGCTTCGTTCGAAATTTTAGGCTACAGCAAAAAGAAAAAAGTTCAGGTGATGCAAGAGAGACAGCCAAATCGGCACACAAGAAAAATTTTTTATCACTGTAATTAAATATAAGTTTAGATTTAGATTTGGCATGTATCCACCTTACTGACTTTTACCTGATCTTCCCAAATAGTTATTAAACGCAGGTTATAAGAATTACAGGAACAGGTTTCTAGATCAGATTTTGGAAGCAAGTTATACAGTAGTGATATTATTTTCACATTTGTTTACCTATAACTGAACAAAATTCTAATATTAAATTCGTTAATGTACAGAAGAATTTTATTTTATTTCGATAAAAAATATGACGCTTGTCTTGATAATAAAACTTATATCATTATTTCAGTTGTTCAAGCTACTAGTGGTAAGTGAAAACAATATTTATGCAGTAAACTACTTGCACACATAAATATATGTTAAAAAATTTTGCTAATTTTTTAATAATTTTCAATTTTTGCGATCTATGTTAGCTTAAAATTTTGTTTAAAACAATTTCAGTCAACCAGCATATCTGGTGATCATGGCCCTTGAAACTCTTTTTTTTTCAAATTTGCTTCAGGAAAGACAAAAAAATGTGTGGTATGAAAAGGTAATGATTTTAGCGCTATTTTTATAATAATGCATTTGGTCCCAGAGTTAAAGGAACAAAATAATAAATTATTTCATAATTTTGATTTAATAATGTATGAACATATGATGTAAAATTTGCAATGGAGTGTCATATTAAATTAAATTATAATTTTGAAAATAAATTTAAGAACTAAATGAATCACGAAACAAATAAAAAAAGGGCTATTTATGTTTGTTTTTTTCAATTTGAATATGCATCTGCCAATTTTTCTCATGCATTTGAAGCAGTATATGTACTGACAAAAAGAAAATTTACACATAAAAATTATAAAAAAATTATAAAAAATAATACTTTAATTTTAATGAAATCTTTGTTCTCCTCATATGTATGCCGGAATTTTATAACTTCAAATGATGCTTAGATTGAAAATTTTTTTTTTCAATTGATCTTAAATAAATTTAATTTATATTCCATCTTACGAAATGCAAGATTTTTATATAACTTCATATGCTATATGGATCCTAGATTAACTATTGCTTTCTATTGCTTTTTATATTGCTACGTCTGTAATTAACATTTTAAGGAAAATATTTTTATTTGTTCAAAACTTTGTTTGCAGATTTCTTTTGTGGCTGTAAGTATTTTTTTCACAATTAATCACAATGTTACATTTCAGTAGAAAGTTTTATGTGATAAAATGTTAAAAAATTGAAAATGAATAAAATAAAATAATACAACACTTGAATTTTGTATTAAATTAATAAAATTTTTCTGCTCAAAAATTAAGAAATTTAGTTTACGTTGTTCTTAACAATTTAGGAACCTTCTTACAATTTAGGAATTTAGGAATAATGAATTATTGTAGTGTTCATTTTTACGTAAACTACTAAATAGAAAACGAACTAATTAATTTGTCGAAAATTCAAATATAATCATGTTTTATATAATTTTCAAATATTTTTAATCAATTATTTTCATATTAATATAGAGACAATGTTATCTTAAACTTATCCTAGCGCTATGCATATTTAAGAAATTATATTAAAAAAAAAGTATTATAAATTGCAAAATAAAATATTTCATTTATAAATATCTTATAGATGAGTATCTAAAACCCCCTTCTTCACACGGAGTGGAAAAAGCAATTAATCAATTAATCGGTATTGGTATCAATGGTATCGGTATTGGTATAGTTTTCGGTATTAACAATCGGTGTCAACATAACGAAATAATTCGCAATACTGATGAGGAAAACTGAAAAGAATGCCGTATATTTGTTTAGGAAAATTAATATGCATCAATACAATTAATTTACTTAAACAGTTCCAGATTTTATTATTAGCAATTATTTACTGAAGTTCCCAATAACTTTATTAGATGAAGAAAAACACGTTTTTAGAAGTTCTTTTCATAAAAAAGTAGATATTACCAAACTTAATTCGACATTATTGACGTCAATAATAATAATGTGATTTTTTAAGATTCTCCTAACCGAACCTGTTCTCTCCGTTAGTTTATCTTTTTAGTGTAGAATTTACTTTTTATTTCAATTCGCTCCCATTACCTTCTTTTTTTAATTCATAAAAGTTTTCAGTATAATTCAGAACAATTGCTACTTCTGAACCAAAAAGAAATTCAAGTGCTTCTTCTGAAAGATCCAATAGGAATTTTTGAAGGATTTTTTCGATCAGGGGCTAAAATTACCCAGTTTTGGATAATTCAGAGAGAGAACCAAGCGCATAAACTATTATTTTCATTATAACAGATTTATTTTATTTATCCCTTAGTTATTAAATCTAGTGTTACTTGAGCTGTTCAATGGCTTATATGCAGGCAACAGCATTAAAATCCTGAATATATTTTGCTCTAATGATAGGAGATTCATCTACTAAGATATTAGCTTAATGATTTTAGTGTCAAATTGAAATGTGCATTTTAAATACAGGGTGTCCCAAAAAGACTGCATAAACTCTGCACAGCTAGATTCCTCGTTGGGAGTACATAAAAACTGCCCAACGAGGAATCTAGCTGCGCAGATTTTATGCTGTCGTTTTGGGACACCCTGTATATTTATGCATCTTAAATACAATTTTTGAAATCAGACATAAAATTTACTACAGCTGTAAACATTTTAACATTATTATATTTTTAACCAGAAAGTATGGATTTTGTCAAAATCTGGAAAATAGAAGTTCAATAGATGCCATGCAAAGCGGATGTAAAATGAGAAAAGTTAGGATAAGGAAAAGATAAAGATAGAACTTAAAATGTTGGTCCTTTAATGATGTGCTCTTTTTTTTACTATTTTCTGATTCGGTAACTATGTACTCGTATCAAAATGTTTTATCACACTCAAAACATTTCGTATAGTTAAATTTTCGTCTTACTTGTAATGTTCAGTATTACATTTAAACAAGATAGAAAATTGCAGCGCAGCATAAGGTATAAAAATGTTTAAATTAAGAAAAATACAACATTCATTTATGCACTTTGCTATTAGTTATACAAATATCGCAAAAAAGCGAAATATCAAAAAGTAATATATGAGCTTTAATTTTCACCTAATCTCTTGATCCATAATTACTAATTAACTATGATCTCTATACTAATCAGAATTTATAATATCAGAATTAGTCAAAGAAAGTAGGAATATAAAAAAATTAATGCTTTACGCAGCAGTGCATTAAATAGTTAGCAGAATTAAAGAGTTTTTTTAAAACTAATAATGTTGCCTCCTATTATGTGTTAAATCAAAAAGTATTCTTGTTTTCGATTATTTAGAAAAACTCGATAGTTAACTGAACCTTATAAGTTTGAATTGATATTAGTTTTTTAAGGTGTTTCAATTTAAAACTATTAAAGATAAAATTAAAATAATTATTTTAGTTTGCATTACTTTTATTCAACAAGAACTTCACCTAATGATATCTTCTTACCCTGTAACACTTGTTATCCCCCTTTTTTTGAACTAATAATGACTTCTTAACCTGGGATCATGCATAAAATCTTAAATCATCGTCTTCAATCGCTTTGGTAAAAATGGTTTTATTTGATTTTCGATCATTTCTAAAGTGTTTTTGACTAATTTCCTGGCATTTTTTCAAAGTTTATTTTGTGACTAAATATTTTTAAGAATGCGAGAATTCAATTTTAAATTATTTTCAGGAATATATGTTAATAAATGTAAAAAAAAATATATTAAAACTTAAATGTTTAGGCATAAACCAAATGAAATCAATCGCAACATTTAACAAATCCTAAGTTTTTAAAAGTCTTTGTTTTAAAAATTATTCTTTTTCCAAGTAAGTAAAATTTTATTAAATTTGCTTAAGCAATTTTTTAAATGTATAATGAAACATTTAAAAATGAGCAAATGTTGAATTGGATATTTATTTATAAATTTATTATGTTATATAATATTTTTAATGAAACTTAAAAATTTTGCTTTATAGTTAACAGAGTATTTGGCAGTGAGTGAAAATTATTACATTTGTTTCTCTTTTTTAATTGCTCATTAACTGCAATAATTTAAAAAATGCAATGAATGACTGTATAGGTATATAATGCACTGTGCTGCTAATGTATATGCTGCTAATGCACTGTACTGCTAATATATATACTGTTAATGCCCTGTGAAAAATCACATAAAAATAATATGATATCCATTTTTACCGGAACATGCCATGAAACAAAAAATTTTATATATCGTATATTCGGTAATAATAATTACCATAAAAAATAACTGAATTACTCCAATAACCTTAATATTAATGCAAATAATTGCCATATAATATTTTACTTGAAAATGGTAAATTTACGGTGCATGGATTGCATGGTTGAGTAAATTTGACACGGTTAAATGGATTTTAAATACAATGCACCCAAAGTGCTGGTCTTTTATACCGTTGTTTGATCCAAATTTTTTTACAGTGTTGGTTATACCATATTTTACACCTCCTAAAGGAATTATTACCTGATTTTCCTTAATGGATATTGGGTAAACATTTCTCCTGAAACAAAAAAATATATTTTTTTATTAATATTTTATATGTTTAAAAAAAGGGTTATTCTCGATCAAGCAAACTAAATTTCATTTTTCAGCAAGTGATTATGAATATGATTGTGATTGGACTCAAGAAAATACTGCTTGTTGAGTAAAAGATGAATCGGATGTACAGATGTCATATTGCCACAGCTCATTTACCATAAATTGTAAAAAGAAAGCATGTTTAAGGAATAATTTAAAAAACTTTAAATCATTATAAATAGACTCTGCATTTAAAATAATAATTATAAAAAAACAAATGCCTAATTACTTTCTTAATCACTTCATTTGACAAATTTGTTTCTGATGCTTTGAAGATCCGATTGCTTTGAATCAAGCTAAAATCGGATTGTTAAGAAGTTTAAATTTATTTATTTAATTGTTACTAGAATCCAAGATTTCTGTTTGTCAGTAAGGAATATACAATGCACCTAATGCACTAAGTTTCAAAAAGAAGAATTAAAAAAAAATACGTTTGTGTAAATTAAAATACATATTGCAATAAATTAAAGAACCTATTAGGCTCTGAATTTTTTTTAAAATTATTGTGCATTAACCTTAAAGCAAATATTACAATTCTAAAATGAATATCTACAATAAAATATTTAGAAAAATTATTTGTTATTTCATTATTATTTAACAAAATAAGTGGCAACTTCTTTTATTTCCAAACTTTAAATTTCAAACTCCCTCTTAAATGAGCTGCAGCTATAATGAATTGTTTTTAAAGTGGTATATACATTAATTTTACAACTTTCCAATTTATTTCACGTAGCAAAAAATTAGATCTAACTTCATTGTATTATATTGCAGAGATTGGAAGCGACTGTAAGTATTACTTAATATTTAGAATGCTATTAGTTTTTCTGATTTTTTAAATTAAAGTTTAGAATCTGACTTGATGTTAAAAAAGGTAGTTGATGCATCATAAAAATGCATATAAAAATTTAAAATACGGAAATATACTAATATAATAACGTAGGGATTGAACTGCATTTCATATTCATTATTGTATTTGCTTAGATCTAAAGACTCTGATTTTTATTTTTAAATTTAGTTAGTCTTCAAACAAATGCATGGAATTTAAGAATTGCGAAAAATATATTCCATGTTTTACATACTTCAATTTCCCATACAATGCTTACTAAATGTTTATATTTTATATAAAGAAATGCGTTAACTTTGTCTAGAACATTAGTAGACTCAACACAAATTTGAAATTGTGTGTTACGCTCAAATATCTATTAAAAGAGCTTAAAATGTTATTTTAGACGAATATCATCTAAACTTAAATGTTATTTCACCTTCTCATGAGTAAATTTTACACAATTACGAAGTTCGATTGTATAAAATTAACTGCGACGTGAGCTTTAAGAGTTCGATCATAAAGATTTTTTCTAACTTCCGTAATGTAATAAATTAATGACCCTTTCTATCACTTTCGGTAAAAGTACTCGTTTCGCAAAACAAAAAATAACATAATAAGAACAAAATTCTCCAGAGATTTTTATACTATATCCGGATGCTTTATTGTAAACATTTAAACGAAAAAATGGGCTGTGGAACTAACGCTAAGAACTTAACTACTATTTTGTTTTTACTTGCTCTTGATAGCTACAGGAAAATATTTGATATAAAATTTCTGAACATGCAGAAAATTTCTCACCATACAGTAATATTTCTATAATACTGTTGCAAATTACAGTTACACAAACTACAGTATTTCTCATCATAATAGCTATTTTCTCAGTGGATAAACTTGTCTGTGTAATTGAAATATAGAAAATTACTAAGCAAGACAATTGATTGCTTAAAAATTAACCAAGAATGATATTTTAAAGGAAGCATAGAAAGCAAGTCCACAACTTAAGGAATGCATTGAAATTTCGAAATACTCTTTGAAGTTTTAAATTCATCGAAAAAAAAAGTTGATTATCAAAAAAAAATATTAACTATTTGATACAAACTATTTATTAACTATTTGTTGTTAATTATTTTTAATCCAGTCTATAACAAAACCATTTTGTTTTTATTATGAACACTACATGTGAACACCACATGCTACTACATAGAACCATTAATATTATTTATGTATATTTTATTGTATAGCTTTGCAAAAGAAAAATTTGATACATTACTAAGTGGGGTTCATAGTATTAAAAAAAGAAATAAATGTGATTCTGAGTCAATTAATGATAGAACGAAGCAATTTAATGCATGATAAGTTCTTTTATATTGTGTACTTTATTTTACTAAAAAAATTATTGTCGCATTTTACTAACAAGTAATATACTAAATATCTGATCACAGCGATGTTGAATTTTTTCCTCATATATTGTGATTTAAACACTAATTTTTCATTTTTCTTTCCTTTCTAGTGGGACAAGGTAAAATCTTCAAAGAAATTTTATTTACATCAATATATATATATATATATATACACACACACACACACACACACACATAT